AATTCTTCTCTGCTATTCTAATCCTAGCATGAAGAGTTAACTTGAACGGCTAATCTGGCCACGCATATTTAGATTTTTGAGAAGTATTTTACTTGATGGAAATTTACTAATTCTTACTTCTCTGTCTTTATTTAATCATTTTTTTCTGCTAACGGAAAACAAATAATTCTTTACAAATTTCGACTTTAGCAGTTTAGTTATGGAAGAATCTTTTACTCTATTTATTTTTTTATAATCTGCATTTCTTCATCTTCCTTAAAAAATAACCTTCAGAAAAGTCTGTATATATGAGGTATTTTAACTATTTACTTTATTTATATTGTTTGGACTGTTCTTTACTGTCACATTCACGACGTTTCGGTAGTTGTACGCCTTCTTCAGAATTTGTTGGAATTTGTAACCGAACACTTTATTTAGTTCCGCACAGGTATATTGTTCTAGTACCATGATATTGGTTATCCCAATTATAGTTAATTCACCTTGATGGCAATGTTTTAGTTGTCACCGCTGCTGCCAGGTATTCAGATCATATTTGCGTCGTCAATTCTTGGACCAATCAGCCAATGTTTTATCCACTGGTCCATCATTAACACCTGAAGATGGCTGGAGCGTACAACGGTCGAAACGCCGTGAATGTAACAGTAAATAGGAGGACAAAATTCCGAACAAGGTAAATAGTTCTGCAAAATCTTTGAAGATTTTATTTATTTTTCATGTTCTCGTTTAGATAGTAGATTACGATATTTTAAATTTAAATTTCAACCACCCATAACAAGCTTTTGATGCTCAGAAGCAGACTTGGATGATTCTCGTCAAAGAATTCGATATAATTACGATCTGTTATTTTATACAAAAATAATCTCATTGTTTTTTTTTTAATTTTGCCTTCTTTTATAACAAATATTCCGATGATATATCCATTCTAATACAGGGGCTCGTTGATATAGCTTATAAAGAGATACCGTGGGGATATTTGAGAGAGACGGTGGAATGATATGTCTCTGATTGAAGAATCAGAGAGCAGAGTTCGAATTCTAAACGATATCGTTACATTCACTTAGGTTCAAATACTGTTTGGAAATTTAATAATCCATATATCCCGCCCACAATTTATGTCTGTATAATTGGACAGGCTGGGTACTATATCCTTGGCTGGCTACTTGCGTAGGAGTACAAGAACATTGAATTCAAAAGCTCAACCTCTGGATTAAATATTCTCACCAACCTGCAGTTGCATAAGCGTATTGAATACGGCTGCTCCCCGGGAATCATTGTCAATCAGGAAGGCGTTCTTTTAAACAGAAATGAGATGGCCCTCGATTTGTGTAATATCTTGGATAAAGATATGCACGCTTCTTAAATTCATAATGCATATAACAGGTCAAATAACTGTCATCGTATCGGAGATGAAGTGATAATAAATCTGATCAACTGTATCTCCTAAATCTTATGTTTCATTATATTATAATATAAAACTTTTAATCTTTTTTTTTCTCTATCGATTTTGTCATCGAGTTGTATGCATAAAATATTTCCGAGGCATTTGTTAACAAGAGAATAACACTTTCATAATGCTTATCTAGTTACGCATGTTTAATGAATTTGAACATTGCAGAAAATGCGATATTTTCATTGCCGTATTTTTTTTCATTTAGTATTCAAAAAGCCAGAGTAAAATAAATTATATTTTACTGCCTGTTATATTAATTCGTAGAGCAAGGTTTTCTGCTAGGGATACAATTTCTGTAGTTTTCCCACATAACATTTAAATGGTTTTATTTAGCTTTTAGCTAAATAGTCAATTGCCCGAAATAGAATAAAGCCTTTATCGATGCAAACTTTGAATGATGGAGTATAAATTACGATGGATTGTGAAATTAGAGATTCCAGCCATACATATGGAAACATTTCCTTCCTTCTGTGACAGTTCTGCTATCGTCAAATTTTAGCGTATAGTTTGAAGTCTATTTACGAGCAAGTTATCTTTGTAAAGAGGCCTTACTGTTTCTCATCTTTTCACAGTTCACTTTAGAAACAAATAACAAGAACAGAAAAAAAAATATTAAAGGCTTTTAGCTCCATCAAATATATTGCACTTTATTAAACATTTCGTGTTGTACTTTCAATAGCTGTATGGTTGTTTGTAAAATACAAAATCATAGGCAACATCTCATTCAGAAAAAAAAAATTACACTCAATATGCTTTACATTCAGTTCGTATTTTTGAACCACATCTCATATCGAATGTGTTCTATTACAAGAAAGAGAAGTTGGAATTGAAGAGACTTTGAAATAGAATTCAATGTCCATAGAAATGTTCTCAGGAAATCTGTTTCGAGAACTTCGAAAATATATCAATTCACAAGAAATACAAATCTATTAGTTTGAGGAGACATTATAAAAAATAATTTTGACATTGGGATGTTTAATATGTTAACAGCTGGTAACGTGGGAAAGTCATTAGTTAATGCAAGGATAAACAAAAGGAAGCACCATAGCGATAACTAAAAAGAAAAGAAACCTTCACATAGATCAAGATATCAAGTATCACTGTCCAAGATGTTCCAGTGTACAGAATATTCATAAAAGTTTATTTCTGGCTGCAGAATTAGAAACTCATGTATAAACTCATTAAAAACTAAATTAAAATCTACCCCGGTGGAAAAAAAGAGGGTTCACTTCGAAAGTCCATGTATGGGCAAATAGTGAGCCCTCAAGCAGAATCAATTCATTGTAAAACTATAGAAGTGCCAGCAATGCACACACACACACACACACACACACATATATATATATATATATATATATATATATATATATATATATATATATATATATATATATATATACTGTAACCGGATATATAAGAGAGTTGTCGGGACCGGAGAAGAAGTCTCTTGTTTCTCTTATATCCGGGTTTGGTCTATCTTGTTTAGGTAAGTATGGGCTCTAATTTGGACCAGAGAAAAATCTCTTTATATCCAGGTCTCTTATATCCGGGTTACACATATATTATATATATATATATATATATATATATATATATATATATATATATATATATATATATATATATATATATATATATATATATATATATATATATATATATGGGAGAAACTGACCAATACATTTTATTTGTGGTTGAAAGTGTGCAATTGCGTTCAATATATATTTGGTTGACCCCATGAAATTTTGTCCAAAATGTTTCGATTTTGGCATGATATCAAAAAGGGTTTGATGCTAAGCTAAACAAAATTGACAAGAAACGGCACAGAAAGTAAACAGAAATCTGGGTTTGAAATATCAAATTGAGTAGAGGTAATGATATAAAATCCATTGGACCTGATATCCAGAATGTAATTAATGCCAAGTAATAAAGAACAGTATCTATTTAGACAATATTATTTGTAAAATCAGGGGCAAATTAAGACAGTATTATTTGTAAAATCAGAGGCAAACGTGTCTCGCTAGATCCTTTACGACTGAGTTGTAAGTTCGATATTAATTTAGTGTCCGATACTCTCAGGCTTGTGCCACATCTAAGCTATGATTGGAAAATCATTATTATTTGTAAAATCTGCTAGAACACAAATAAATAATTAAAAAATGTTGAAACTTACTCCTGCTTGATTTTCTAGAGTTTAGCAATAGATACTTCAGTTTATTTACACTATTTACATCTTTCGGACACTTGCACTTATTTTTGTCATCATATTCACAAGGTTTCGGCCGTTGTTCGCTCCGACCTTCTTCAAGTTATATAGATTAGATTTTCACCTGAACGTGATTTTTATTTCACGGGGTTAGGTTGTACTAACCCCACGAGTCAGGCTTTATTGGAATATCTCAGTTTCAGTTAATTGCCTTTAGTAACTCCCCAATGTTTTGTTCAATGTTTTGTTCATTCTGCTGTGGCCAATTTTTGAATTCAGAACTCTTTGTGTCAATTCATTTTTTGTATCATACAACCAACGCTTTTATCCACTGAGCCATGCGCCCTACTCCCGTGGACCAAATAAAGGCTTCATTTCGAAATTCCAATGTATATCAGCTGAAGAAGGCTAGAGCGTACAACAGCATAAGCGTCGTGAATATGGCAATAAAGATGTGAACAACAGTACAAAAAATATAAATAATGTAAACAGTAACAATACTTCATCTCAGAACTATAAATAGTTATTATGACTATATTAATTTTTCTTTTCAAATTACCAGTCATGGCTTACGGTCTAATTTAGTTAATATTAAAAATATATATATATTCGCTTTTTCCCCCAATTATAGCCGTATTCAGTGTGTTCCCATATCTTCATATGAATTTTATTTCGGCCAAAGTTTCTAAAACAGTACTTAATGTTTTCACTAGTAGGAATAGAAACAGCAGATTAACAGTTTCACAAGTTAAAACAATGACCTTTCTGCAAACTGATATTCTAATGTTCTACTAAACTTATTTATGGTAATTATAAAAGAGGGGTATTTTAATATGCAGGTACATTTCTTCCACGAGCTTATTACGAGTAGCAAATTTATGAATTGTACTTTTATTGAATCCATTCTGTTGCATATTGAAGGAAATGCAAAACCCAATTATTATAACCCCTCTACGCTTATTAAGTACGTCGGAGACTTTATTCTGTTAATTTTGAAAAGTTTACTTAGGGAAGAGGATATCTGAGAACTACTGTTTTGCAACTGTTCCAAACGACTATGACTACTATTACTATCATCGTTATTATTATTATTAGCAGCAGTAGTAGTATTAGTAGTATAGTCTGAGAAAATAGAAAATAAGTGGCCATTAAAAGTTTAGGTGTGAAAATGTCAGATAATAATAGCAAGGCCTGAGACAGAAGATGATGAAGAGAGGCGACATTTAATTAGTGCTAAAATAGAGTCCGCTTTGTTTTGTTTTGTTTTTTAAAAAGAAATATTTAAGAAGATTTAGTTGTTGTCAGTGCAGGCTTTTTGTGTTGGAGACGGATGAGATTAACGCAATGTCTGAAAACATTTCGTGATATTAAAACGGAATTGAATAAAGTGCGTTTTAAAAAAAAGAAAGAACTGTATAATCTCCGGTCTTGACGAAGTTAGAGCAACTAAACACCGATTGAGAATTTTAAAAGAAAATAAATAAAATGTAGAGATGCGTTTCATTTTTAGTTTTTTTTTTTGTTTTGTTTTCGTTCGCTGTACTCTACGCACTATTTCTTGCACAGTCAAACGTAAATCTAAAATGTGCAGAAACATTAATGCAATCGTCTATTTAGGGTGGCATTTTCTGGCATCTTACAACAATCTTATGAATGATTTAAGTATTGATTCATGTCTGCGACAATATCGAAGTTTTTCTCCCTCATTTTCTATTTTTTTTCATTTTTCATTTCAATAGGGTTTCTAAATTCTATATCAAAATTTTGCCTGCTATTATTTCGTTTCTTTCTATTGTCAAAAGATTTAAAATTAAATTCTTTTAAAACCGTTTCCTATTTTAACTTATTTAACTTTATTTCTTGTTACTTGTTTTTTTTTTTTATTCCTCAGTCATTTATCTTTTAGTATTTGCCATTTTCTACATTTATCACCAGTCTTCATCATTTTTCGTTTTTATTCTTCTTTTCTTTCTTTAGCTCTTTACACATTTCTTAATTTATGTCTTAACCTCCTCCTCTTCCTCCTTCTCATAAACCGCCGTATTCTTTCTCTTTTCGTAATTACTTTGTTTTTATATTCCTGCGAGGTTACTTATTGTCGTCTTTTGCTATTTATTCGTTGATTACTCTTCTTCTTCTTCTTCTTCTTCTTCTTCTTCTTCTTCTTCTTCTTATTCTTCTACTTCTTCTTCTTCTTCTTGTCCTCCTCCACCACCACCACTCCTACTTCTTATCATTCTTATCATTGTACACTCCTCCTCCTCTTCATCCTCAACCTTCCTTCTCCCCTTAACCACCTTCTCCTTCTTCTTCCTTAACCTTTCTTCTTCTTCTTCTTCTTTTCTTCTCTCCGCCTTCTTTCACATAATAACCTTCTTCTTCTTTTCTTCTTTTCTTTCTTCTCCCTTCTTCTTCCTCCTCCTTCCTTCTTTCTTCTTCTTCTTCTTCTTCTTCTTTCTTTCTTTTCTTTCTTTTCTTTCCTTCTTCATCTCCTCCTTTCTTCTTCTTCTTCTTCTTCTTCTTCTTCTTCTTCTTCTTCTTCTTCTTGCAGTGTTATATAAAGAAGTGGGCGATCATGTCTCTCCAAAACTTCTATCTTTCGTAGCCCTGATCTTATTGCGCCTTTTTACCATCATTCTCTATTGTTTCTTCCCCTGATTCATTCGTAACATTTGCTTATTCATTCCCTTCTTCTTTTCTTCTCGTTTTATTTTTGATTCTGTTCTGCATTGTACATCTCTTTTTTTCTCAGTATCTTATTTCTAATTGTTTAATAAGTATTTTATATTATTTATACTCGTTTTCATTGGTTTACATTTTTTTCTGTTCAAGTCTCATTTAATTTTTAATCAGTTTATGTATCTTACCACAAATGTCTTCTTTACTTTTCTCTCATTTATGTTTTTCTCCCTTACTCCATTTTCAGTTTTTTTATTCAGTCTTAATCTATTGCATTCACTTTCTACTGCACTTTTTCCTGTACATTTTCCCCTCCTTCATTATTCTGATATTTCTTTCTATTTTTTCATTAAATTTCTTCATCATTCTATCTTTCATTCTATCTTTTTTCTTTCAGTTCGTCATTTTCGAACCAGTTTCTTTACTGTAGTTTTTATTTTCTCATTCCTTGAACTTTTCTTGTCATCTCTCTTATTGCCATTGCTCTTTCTTTGAATGCCATTCTTCTTCCTACAATCCCCCCATTACCTCCTCCGACGCTCCCCTTCAGCTCATCTCTGTGTGTCAATGTTTCTACATAGTTTTTTTTTCATCTCTGTGTCTTTCGTTTAAGCTCAAACTTTTCTATATTTCATTTAGCATTTTATTCTAGTCTAATTCGTTTTTCTTTGCAGACTGTTCTAGCCACTTTACATTTACATCTAATGGAATCCCATGTTGCCTGCTTCGGCAAACAAAACACAATAATCTATCTTTCATACTCGCCCAAAAGCGAAAGAATGCGACTAATTCTTGGAAAAGTACTTCTTTTATTCCTCCCTAGGTGCAGAAAAACAGAGATGATTCTCAGCCGTCTGATATTTCCAAGTGACACAAGTTGGTTTCGCCAAGACTTTATTAATATCATTGTCCACAGCCTGTTCTTTTGGAATTTTAGACCATTGTATTTGTGTTTGAATATATTTGTTCTGTCTGATTGTATCATGCATCTATTCATTTTTTTTCCCGAATGTAGAAGTCTGAGGACATTGAAGTTGATTGGCGATGTTTGAAGTAAACTCAAACTCTGTGAGGTTTTTATATTCTTTAGCAGATTTTTCTCTCCTATTTCGTATTCTTTTTTATGGAATCAATACCCGGACTTTTGTCTATGAACATCCAGTCTGAAATTCCCAAATGATTTTTCTGTCCAGTATCTATAATAGAAATGAGAACACGCCGGAAGCAGAGATGATATAAAAACTTGAATACATGACTTGTTTATTTATTTTATAAAACACTTATTTAGGAAGTATAGGTTATAATTAGATTTGTAAGCAGAATATTGTTTCCTTTCGAAAATTGGTCAAAGTTTGCGTTGTGTCTAACATAAGGATGAAAACCTATTTATTCAGTTGACTACGTGATAACTACCAAGGGTAGGATTCAATATGGGTTTCACAGGTGTATACGTGTGTAGAGACAGCAATCGAGCTGACGCCTTTTACCTTTTCCATTTTGTCTGTGCTTTATTTCTGAAAATGACGCTGACTTGTAGATCGCTTTGCACCTAACACATTCTCAACATTTCCTTGTTGCTTACGGTAAATGATGAAGCAAATAAACGTTGAAAAAAATTAATTTACAATAAATTTAAATTGAAAACTGGAATCATTATTAACTGTTCGAAAATCTATCAAAAAAGATATATACGTAATCTAGAGCGCTTGAGAATAAGAAAATACTTCTAGTCCTTGTACTTTTAGTAGAACCCAACTGAAAATGTATAAACATATAAATGATATACCAAGCAATATTGTGAGATAGATTAACTTGAATTTAAAAAGGTTTGATTATTTCTTAACAGCAATGTATCGCCATATTCAAATATGATTTTGATATATACATTCTCTTACCTACATCGGGAATTTATTAAATGCATAGCCAACTTCCTACTTCCCATTTTGTGTTTAATTAGACGATAACTCATATTTGAAATATTTAATATATTTCAATAGCTCCTCTTCAATTTTTAAGTTGAATCTTTTTCAACAGGACATTTCTTTTCAAAGCAAGAATGCGAGATTTGATCCTAAAATAGACTCTCGTATTTTCACAGAATTCCCGGATGACAGTTTCCGTTTGCAAACGAAACAAACCTTTTATTTAGATTTCCCTACTCTCTCTGTGTATAACCAGAAAAAAAGTTTCAATATCATGGTGAGAGAGATAGAGAGGGGTAGAATTATGTACTAGCAGGATTGATGACTTAAAACATACACTAATTCATTAAGATTATTTTACTCATAATCAGAGATAAATACAAGCGGATACTTTCCTCTTTCTGGTTAGTTTTAAAATATACCGTGTACCAAAATATTTAGCAAATAAGGAATTTATAGTAATTATGAAAATGGTTTGTAAGTAAGTTAAATATTTGTACTGGTTTATTTGGATTATGAAAAATGAAATTACAGAGCCAACTGAAAATTACTTCTCTCACGAATTAAGGTTAAAATTGTCTATCCAATCTGAGAGATTCAAATAAATCACATATAAAAATGGTCTTGAAGTCCAGATGCAGTAACAAAAGATAAAAATGATAAAACTGATATAATTTCTATATGGCAGCATTCATTCAAAGCTAATGCTCTTATAATGGTTAGAAGAACTGAATTTTGCTTTCCAAAGTAGATTTATTAATGTTATTTCCTTTTAATCCTCCTCAGTCATATGTGACATTTTACATGCTTTCGATAAAGATTTTTTTCCCCCAGTGGTTTGCCATTTCTTTCTGAAATCAAAGTTATAGACCCCTAGGGTAAGAAGAGAACAAATACCTTTCCCAAGGATATAACACGTTAGTAAATGTAATGGATTCAACTGGAATTCGAACTCGGCTATCCGTTCCTCATATTAGTGCTCCCAGAGTTCATTACTTGATTTAAAGCGTCGTCTCGTTGCCTTGCATAAAAAAATGATTCATTGAATTGCCATTTTAAATGATTTTTTGCTCAATTGATAAAAATTCAGTTTAACGCATCAATCGCTATTGCTGATTGAAAAATCCAGGGTTGGTCTACAGTTGTTCAAAGGTTCTCTGTCAAGTTGATTTTCTCAGATTCGACTTCGAAATAGGATGAAAAATTTTCCTTAACGATGCTTTATATAATATCTCAACATAACACTTCAATGCCCTTAAGTCGGCGACCGCACATCTCAATTTTCAATTGACATTTTATGTGCCTACAACGACTGAAATTTATAACATCATGCAAGTCTTTTTAACAGAGATAGATTCAACGATCTTTAATGTGGTTCACTTCATGTCGAACAATTTTTGCATCGTCGTCATATCTGTTAAATCTTTTACAGCCCGTATCACATAAAAATTGGAATGATGTCCATGAAGCGATATATGCAGAATGATTGTCATTCGTTCACTTTTGCCTAGAACAAAATGGTATTTTATATAATTGGACACGTCTGTGATTTCAAGAACTTTAATTCAATTGAATTTAAGTACAGATAAGAAGAAGAGGATATTTATCAACAAGTTTTTCTGCGGTAAATTTTGGAATGCACAGTATGCGAGATTTAAAAGAAAAATAATTTAGGACCAATTCTATGATAGCAGACTTGAAATCTAGAATATAGGTTTTGACGTTCATAACCCTTTACAATTAAAGTAACTCCAGATTTTTGACAGTATTTCTATCCTTCAAAAATGGCTTTTTAAGTATTATTAGACCAGATCATCAGCCTCATGCAAGAAAAATACGATCAGAAGTGTTATGCATTCATCAAATTACTTGCCCTGTTCAGTTATCATTTGGTTTCAAATAATTTATCAGAGTTAAACGTGCTGGGATTTTAGAAATTCTTCGAATGTTCACAAGATTATCGGTTGTCCCATTCTTCTATTCTGCTCTCATTTCTGGACAGATTTTTCGATACCTTAAAATTTGCTCAGTGCATTAAAAGAGAATATATTATCTGATGTTATGCAAAAATGCATTACATTATTATCTGTAGAATATCACCAATTTTACCATATGCAAGATGATCATTTTTATTCATTCTTTCGAACTATCTATCTGACTCAAGCAACATTTAGATGTGTGTGTGTGTGTGTGTAACCGCCCGCACATCCTGGCACATGCTCCAAGTTGTGAAAAGGGCAAGACCGTTTTTGTTTAACTCCCATCGATAGTGGAAATAATCGATTTTTCATGCTTCTAGAGTTTTCATGTAATGATTTTCTACTGGCCAGAATGAGAGCCTTTACCTTGGCAGCAGGAAGTTTCTATTGGCCAGAGTGAGGCCAACAGCTGGACACGAATGTTAACGGCATAGAAGTGCGAAAAATGTAAAACTGCACGGCACTTTACTCAATTGAAACTCAACGTTGATTCTGATTTCGCAGAATTGGGTTAGGTTGAAAATGTCTTATTTTTTGTTAACATTCTTTTTTATTCAGGTTTTTGCCAGTTGTTTGTTCCTCTTTTAAAAGCTGATTGTTTTGTGTTCATTTTATTTAGTTCGAGGTTTAGCAGAAGATAGCCAAGAGTTAAGGCAACATTTTAATATATTCTTCCTCAAACTTGTTATATATTATATATATATATATATATATATATATATATATATATATATATATATATATATATATATATGTATGTATGTATAAACAGGTGGAATTTACAATTTAAAACGTGCTTCAATTCTGTTTTTTTTCCTTAATGCTCCTGACGGCCTCCGTGGCCCATTTTTCTTAACATCTTAACTTTGCCATGTATCACGTTCCTTTATCATCTGCATATTTTTAAAAATAAAACAAAAAGCTATATCTTGTGCCTGACCCAAACAATGTTAAGTCAACCCTAGGTATATGTATATTTATTAAAATATAAATATAAATACACTGTGTGTGTGCATATATATATATATATATATATATATATATATATATATATATATATATATATATATATGTGTGTGTGTGTGTGTGTTTGTGTTTGTGTTTTGTGTCTGTTTTGTGCATATTTATATATGTATGTGTCGGTTTATGTATGTGTGTGTCTATGTATGTATGTATCTATCTATTTTTCTTTATAAAATTGATGGGATATTATTTAAAGTTAATGTCCAGCTATAATATTAGATATTTAGCAATGGTGAATCTTAGAATAAAATGTCGATTGCCATCTTATACAGATTATTAATAATTGTTGCATAAATTACACTAGATTTACATAATGTGCAATTAAATGACATTTAAAGAATACCCAAATTCATTGTATTTTCCAGGAACGTGAGAATTTGTAGATTTCAAATATTTTTTATCATCCTACTTTTTTGCCTACAGACCTTAAATAATAATGGGTTTGCATCCACCTAATGTTATTAATAGTCAAGTGTGGTCTCGACTTTCTTGGTTACTCTCCTGTTTGATAGAGCTATTTCTGTTTATTGGGACTATAAATGAATTCTCATAATGACCTTCTTAAAGACTACCTGCATACTTTTGTCATTACTCCTACTATATTAACATGGTATAATTTGCTTACTGTGAATGTCATCCTTTGTTTGTTTTTTTCCACTATATGTATTGAGGAGAAAGAAATATTTGTACACATACAATTTGTTTATTAATTTTATTTCCAACTAATGAATGAACATAAGAATATATTTAACTTTACCTCATAATAATTAAATATGCATAAAAAAACAGAAAAATATGATTTAATAGAAATAAATCTTCGGATGTATAGTTTTGCGCCTGTTTAAGATATTTGAAAGTATACTAAACTGAATATATATATATATATATATATATATATA